TGGGTTGGATCTTGAGTGGAGTTATGAAAAATCAAAATGTCTTGATGGGTAGATGGCAGTCTGGAGGAGTGGGCCTTCCTACTGTCCAAGGCCACATGTGATGCTGCAACTCCATTATTGAAAGAACTGCAACACAATGAATGGAATGGGTGGGCCAGGGGCAGTAAGGCAGGGGAGAAAGTGGAGGATGATGCTGGACGTCCTCCGGCCAGCAAGTGGGTTTATAAGACAACTACAATTCCTTAAGGCCTCATTCACACACAAATCGGCCTGCACGTACAGCTCCGTGCTGCGTGCGGGGCCGTACCAAGTAGCTGCCGTGAAGGAGAGGTGCTGCGTGTGATTAGAACGCAGCCCCCGTCCTTCTCTATGGGGCTACGCGGCCGTACGCCCCCCTACGCTCACCTCATTTGCAGGTCCGTAGGGGTGCGGGTTTTCTGTCCGGGACGCATACAGGATCCATTCCGGCGGCGTATGAATACGATCACCCGAATGGATCCTGTATGCGTCCCTGCCAGAAAACCCGCACCCCTACGGACCTGCAAATGAGGTGAGCGGACAGCCGCGTAGCCCCATAGAGAAGGACGGGGGCTGCGTTCTAATCACACGCAGCACCTGTCCTTCCCGGCAGCTACTTGGTACGGCCCCGCACGCAGCACGGAGCTGCACGTGCAGGCCGATTCGTGTGTGAATGAGGCCTAAACAGAGTTCCCCACCCCCCAAATACCCATCAAAACAGTATGCACCACATGGACCTCTCATTACTGCTTTGGCATTGCTGCCATCTTGGAGCTTACTTACTTATCTGGGTGCTGAGCGGCATGGTACTATGGGCATATACTCATAAAGGTATAATGGAGAAGCTGTTCCAGGACTGACCACGTGACAACTTTGTTTAGTACTGCTCGAGACAAACATATAGCATACACGTAAAAATGTGCAAGTCAAGCTGACTAATCCTAGCTTCTGGAAGCATGCATGGTGTGGATGGTAGGATGGCTTTCAATTAGCTATAGAAGCTAGGATCACAAGGCTCAGCCAGTACAGCAATTACCAAATGCCATCCACTATGCATGGACAAAGGGGACCAGCCACTGCTACCTTGTTCTTTTAAAGTGGGTGCCCCAGGGCTGTCATGCACATATTGACTGAAGATCTTATTAGGTATTGAAGCCATGTACACCAAGACAGTACTGTAGCATGCACCTAATAAAAAATATGCATATTTCTGGCTTGACATGTCCCTTTTAATTTTAACCAGCCTTGTGCCTCAAATAGTCAGATAGTCATGTCAGGAGGTCCACATGTGACCTCAAAGCAAAGGGATATGTACAGCCAGCCTTCCATAAAAGATCTATAGGAGATACAAGTGTTCACCATACTCTGTGAGCAGAACACAAGGCTTACATGTGCAGAGTAACCAACACTTTAAAATGACTATGAAAGCAATTTGCTGCTCAGGCAATGTACGCAGCCGGGTCACAAAAACTAACTGCTGAATGATCATATGTCAGTTACCGGGTACCTGATCTCACTTTTTATATTAATTGCAATCTTATTAAAACTCATCCTAAACCTTTTTTTTTTTATGCTTTAGAAAGACTTAAGCTGGCCATACACGGCTTAGATTTCCAAAAGAACTTTTGTACGAAAGATCTTTCATTTGCCTTTTTTATTAGTTGGTCAACAATGGATTTCGACCGCAGTAACAAAAAACAATTCAAAGCAGCAGGATGAAAAAGGTTTCTTGAACAAACAAAATTCAAACAGTGAATGTGGTTTTCGTTCAGGAAACCGCCATTCATTCCAAAACCAAATGTTAAAAGGAGAACTATGGGGTTAAGGCTTTTCCCCATAGTTCTCCTTAGGGTAATGGGAGGACACAAACTAGCGTCCTCCCGTCACCCAAAGCTCAGTATACCGCGAGCTACAGCTACAGCTCGCGGTATACTGAGACGCCGCAGCTGAAGCGGATCCCGACAATTATGTCTGGATCCGCCCAGCTGCGTGAGTGACAGCTGGCTCTGCCTATCTAGAGGCAGAGGCAGAGCCAGCTGTACCCGCCCCCTCCGTCGTCATTTCTGCCAGTCAGCACAGGCGGATCGGAGCAGGGAGGGGGAATCCAGCCCCTCCCGTCACGGCAGAGAGCCGTGACAGGATCGAGAGGTGAGCGAACGGCGGTATGTGTTCGCTCACCTCCCGATCTACTGAGCCGACCTGTGACAGTCTCATTGTCACAGGTCAGCTAGAACTATGAGGTGAGTGAAAAGCACTCGCCTCATAGTTCTCCTTTAAAATCAAACAACATTTTAATCGTCATTCGTCAAGTGTCTGATGGCATTATCGGCTGGTAAAGAATGATCATTTGTTTGGAAATCTACTAGTATATGGCCAGCTTAACCTTTAAAAGTCTTCATGTTTCCCTGCATTGCAGCTCCCTTATGTTTACCCTGTGCTATTTTTCCAAAATGCATATCAAATTCTCAAGCAGCATACTCTTCTTTTTCAGTGTCGGTTGGTCTATAACCAGGTAAAGCCCATCTCTGGCCAAGACTTTAATTCAGTTTTAGCTAGACTTGGCAAGAGTTAATAATCCGTAAAGTTTTTTTTATTGCTGTCGGTGAAGTCATTGAAGAAATTCTAAAACATTTGGAGTTCCTGTAATAGGACAAACATGGGGGAAGTGGTTGTCCCTGAAACAGGAAGACACAGACATAAACCTGGCAGAGGTTCTACCACACCCAGACCCTTTGAGAAATTACTAAAAACAAGTGTTTTGGTGTCCCCAATGGAGAGATTTCTCATCTCTTCCTGTCCCACCAGGAAGTGAGGATAAATCTTCCCAACAGGTACACAAACCCTAAATAAAACCTAGCAGACATTATTACATCCCTTCCCTGCTCTGTGTAAATCCAAATAATAGGTTTTGGCCGGAGATGATTTTACTCAACACTAAATGGGAAGGACAACCTGCATCAGTGTCTGCTACTCTGAATACAGTCTCAGCAGGTTGTGGAAAAGAGCAAAGCAAGAATATATGAAAATTCAGTAAAGCAGCAGAAAGAACACAAGTGTTATTAGAAACGTTCTGTGTTCACATTTAGGCACATTTCCAGGGACAGAAGTCCTAATCTTGGCAATGCCCCCTGGAAATCAATGGGAACTGGAAACTCTGTGTTTAAAAAATCAGCTCAGCATTCATTCTTGCATTTGCTTTGTCGCTGTATGTTTAACAATCCAGTTAGAACACATTGTAGGTCACTGCATGAAAGCCTTTCAGCTTGCTGGCTTTCCCTCAGGGGAACACATCTGGAAATGGTTGTGTTCCAAGCCTGGTACCAAAATCCTGAAGCTTTCTAATCTTTTTACAACATAAAAGCCAAAGTGGCAGGAGGTTAATAGAATTAACCTGTACTCTGTAAACACACATCTCATGCACCTTATACTATATTGCTTGTCATCATCTCATTGAATTGCCTTCAAAGGGGAACAGCACACCGTGAGTGTAAGCACTTGAAATAATATAGATCCAGGGTACAATATCAACAGACAGAGTGGAAATTAGGCCAATGTCACACGAATGCTTTGTACTGCCCCGTACATTTGGCCTATAACAAGTACTTACAGTATCTCTTTTTTTTTTTTTACCCACCAGCATTGAAATCAGAGCAATAGCCAACTTTCTGTTGCGTGAGCTTTTACATACTCGCTACATAAACTATTTTAACTGTTGCATATGATGCATATCCAAGATCTCATTATTAAACTATACCTGAGGATTTCTGCAGGTGGGTGCAGACACAAGCTTAACCTTTAGAGGGCGCCAATGAACAATAACTTGGTACTAAAACTTGTTTTCCCAGCAGGAAGGATCACCAGTGAGTAAAAGCAATCGCTGCATTCTGTGTGTTAGCAATACAAATAATTCATCAAATATTTGACATATAGGGGCAATTCAGTAAGGTGTTTGCTGTGTGGTGTGGATGTAGCAGGAAGCCATGCACCAAAAAAAATGAAAAACCTACAAAATTGTCATTGTTAGTAGTAGTAAGTAGTTCAAATATTTATAACACTGTTACTGTATGCCGCTGCTGTTGGGACAAATTTATACAGAAATACTGCAAGGAAAGTGAAGGTAAATAAGACGTATTTCCTGCTGGAGTAAATTGTTGATTGTGTTGCACGTATCTAGGACACTCTTTATGAATTCCAGGGATGATGTTTTAAGGGTTCATTAATTAACTTGTTTTAGGCCAGGTTTTCTGGACCAGATCTGGAACGCGGGTGCATTGGGTTTTGCCGTGTTTTTTCTGTCATTTTCCCGCGTTCCAGATCGGGTTTTTTTTTTAGCTTCAAATTGGCTTTCAGGTGCATTCCAGTGTGTTTGCATGCGTTTCTGATGTGTTTCCATGCGCTCCAGACCAGAGAAAATGAGACATGCAGTGTTTTTCTGGTCTAGTCTGGAAGGAAAGGATTGCTCTGTTGTGAACAGAGGCCAGAAATAGCATAGGGATACATTAGGATGCATTTTGGGTCCGGAAACAATCTGGTCTGGAGATGATCTAGATGTGCTGTAAATGGGCCCTCAAAGTACACAAAAATGTTAGACAACCTCCAAAACCAACTGGGGACAAGTGAGTGCATGGATTAAATGCTACACACGGACTGCAAGTTCTACTCCACTCCATTTCCCAGACCTACAGCTTCTGCATCTCTTAGAGTATAGATTGAAGCATGCAAGTCTGTGCTGGAATTTCCAGCTGGAGACTAGCGGCGGTCTCGGAAATGGATCATACTGGAATTACAGGTGGTTCACTGAGGATTCAGAACTGTGCAGGTACAGTATGTACTATTTATGCACCTCCTTCAGATCTCCTGGTTTTTTTTATTCCACTTTAAGTGATGTTACTAAAATTGATGATAGAACACAGAAAAGCGAAGGGAACACTTATTAAAATAAATGCCTTTAACAGAATATAACATGTCCAATTTACACTTACATCTCGTTCTGAAGACAGTTGCTCAGAACACTCTCTTTCACGTGACAGCTCGCTCTCCAGGTTTTCCACTTGTTGCCTCAGCTGGACTGTCTCCTTCTCTAGAATGGCGGTTATCTTCTGCAGCTCTTCCTTTTCCTTCATTGTCTTTTCGATTTTCAGCTAAATCATACAATTTACAATGAATAAGAATTTACTTTAGACAAGATGTTTCCACTTGATGCCATAACTGGCAATTGCTTAAATATAATAAGAGACAAAGGCAAAACACTGCGACACTGGTTTCAGATGAACAGGCATGTTTTTTTGGTGCTGGGACAGGGTTGTGGTCATTTAAAAAAAAAAAAAAAAAACCCTACTTGTCCAAGCGCTAATTTAGGGGTCCAATCTACTTGTGATACAAAAAATTAATTTTAACCAAAACCGTATTTAACCGTGCTACGAAGCGCTTCTCATTGGTCAGTGCAGTCAAGTGACCGCACTTACCAACGAGTGCTCGCAATTTGCGAACAAAATTCAAAATCCTTAGCACAGGGCTGTGTTGGACGCCAGTATGGGGTACAGAGAGTACATCCATACCAGCGAAGGGGAAGGACCACTCACCCAAAAGCAAAGTATAGCAGCGGGGGGAGAGGGAGCCAGATTTGAGCGGCTAGATCCATTTTCCCCAAATTACTTGGGAAATTGAACTTACCCTTTAATGCACATTAGGCGTGTTAGAGAGCGTTGCTGCCTCGCTACCACAATATAGCACACAGTGTAACGGGGGGCAGCACTCCGCGCACGCACACACACACAATGCCCATTCGCATGCAAGATGGCGGGGGAAACAGGGTTGTTTTTAATTTTCTTTTTACCTCTTCAGCACAAGTTTCAGAGGTCACCTGAAGACTGATAATTGCGGTCTTTTTACTGACTGCTCTCAAGCACACTGTGCCCCAACATAGAATCCAAACCCAAACACCCTTTACCACCATGTAAAGATTAGTTACCCCACAACCTCGCCCAAGAAATGTCAGACCATTCCATCCCACAACCTCGCCCAAGATATGGCAGACCATTCCATCCCACAACCTCGCCCAAGATATGGCAGACCATTCCATCCCACAACCTCGCCCAAGATATGGCAGACCATTCCATCCCCTTACCCTTCTCTTTTTCCTTCAGTTCCCAACTTTCCTTTACCAAGCTGCAAATCAAGCATGGTATCTTTCCTGTTCAATCACTAATGTAGAATGGACTTCAACCTTATGTCCATCTGTGAGCCTACCCCTTCATACAAGAGCTGTTACTGATCCTATGTTTTACTTGGATAACCTCCCTGGAGCATACAAATCGTGTACATCTTGTTTATCTTACCGTTTACTATTGCTCTGCTACCTTGCCATCTTCCTGTTAATAACATTGATATTTATTTTCCCCCATACTCTTGAATATCTACTATTTTATTTTCTGTCCCCCCTATTATTTCAAAATAAAACAGCTTTACCTATAAAAGGCCCACTGAGTCTTAGGAAAACACCAGTGTTGTTTTAATGGACCTTTAAGTGCATTAAATGGGAACCTTTTACACATCTACACTTTGAAATGTATAAAGAGTGTTTTAAAGCATCTTTTGCCTCCCTGAAATGCCTTTGTTAATGTAATTGGGAATGTAAGGAGATCAGAACAGTCAGCATAAACACCCTGGTAACTCCCACGTATTGTTCATCGTTTAGAGTATAATCCACAGCTTTCATCTGCGGCCACAATATGGACATTCTAGACATTAAGACATTCTCAATCCACAAATTGTGAAGAGGTTTAATACTTCCTCAATTAAAATTACACTGCTTTGTCAAATATCAGACAGAAATGGCTTTTGTGCCAAGGGTCCCTGCACTTTGCAGTGTCATGATGGACACCACATTTTGTCATGAAGGGGGAAAAACAGTTATTTTATGACTTTTAACAGATTAAGCATGCCTGTTTGTATACAGAGTAACCTCCAGCCACAAATCATGGAATTAAAGTTATATACATGAAGAAGACTAGAAATGACCATAGAGAGAGAGACAAGGGGCATTACTGAAATTGACATACCTCCAGCAAGCCAGCTTTCGTAGTCACCACCAACATGTCTGAATGACCTTCATCTTCCATGGTTAACAACTCATCTACAGGAGAAGATGACCGGAACTGGAAAGGTGTGCTTGCTCCCCGGATTTCCCCTTTATGTGTCACATAGCAGAACTGGTAAAACTCTCCATCATCATTAGGGAGATAGTATCCTAAAATGTGAAAAAGTTCAACATATTGTCAATTCCAAAAGCTCTTAGAAACATGAGTTCCTCGAATGGGATGGAAATAATCTATATTCTTGCTTTTCTGACATTTCCATGTATATGCATACCCAAAGACCATGCCCTACTATCTTGCAGCTTGATCATTTTTACTTAATAAAACGTAAAAGCTGAACTCTGGGGTAAGCAAATACGACAAACTGATAGAAGTCGTGTGTATTCTTATTTGTTGTGCTTTGTGCCCAGATCTGTGAAGTAATCCAGCATGAAACATTTGCTTTGTGCAGGAGCTTCCTGTAATAAAGACCAGCCACTGCTGCTCAATGTTCTTGTACAGGGTGACTGGTCTTGTATCCGCCCCTTCCTGTATGTTCTTTTGCAGGCAGCCTGTAGTGGGTGGTGCCTGCTGGGTACCTCCCACAGCTCTGATCTCTGCATGTGCAGTAAAGTGAAGATGCTATTGCTACTTTGCCATGTTATTATCAGGGGTTGCGTCGTTTGTATGAGCTGCCAGCCCGTGTTCCCCCCTGCCTGCGCGCCCCCCCACCCCCCATTGTCACGCTGGTCCCGGGCTCCGCTGTGCCCAGTGCGAGCCGGGGTCCAGCATAGTGTCTCTGTCACAGGGGATCAGAGAGAGATCGGTACACAATCTCCCTCCGGTCCCCTCTCTGCTGCCAGAATGCGGAAGTGATGTATATTGTATATATGCATATATTGTGATGTATATATTACAGTGATGTATATTACATCACTTCCGCATTCTTGTGTCACTCTCCAGCTTCAGACGCTGGAGAGAAGCTGATGAAGCAGATCTCTGCTTCATCAGCTTCTTCGGGGGTCCTAGGTGGCATTATGGGACTTGGAGACCCCTGATGTCTCCATAAAGAGGACCTGTCACATATTTTGCCATCACATAGGGGGGTTTCTTAGCCCCCCTATGTGATAGCAATAAAGTTAAGTGGGGAAAAAAATATGGAAAAAAAATGTTTTCACCAAATAAATTTTAAGTTACACATAAAAAAGAATTAAAAAAAAAAAATGTTTTTAAAGCCCCCCACCCATACACACATGCGTCAGGTATGCATACCTGCAAAAACGGCGATAGCGCCCATTACACCGCACATGTTATCGCCGCGAACGTCGCAGTGAGGGCAATAATTCCATCAATCACTGATAACATTAAACTGATGAGCGTTAAAAGCTTTTAAAGCGTCGCCTGGTCAATTTTGGGTATGGTAGTTTTTTGCGGGTGCGCGCAATTGTTAAGCATGACATGTTTGGTGTCTATTTACCCGACGTGACCCCGACTTTTATATTTTACAAAAAAATTGGGTAATAATAATCGTTTCCTAACATAATGTAAAAAAAAAAAAAAAAAAAACTTTCCAAAATTTTCAGTAAATTTTCTGAAATATAGTGAAAAATCAAAACGCCAGTGGTGATGAAACACCACCAAAAGAAAGCTCTATCTGTCCCCAAAATTGTACAAAATTAATTTCAGTACAGCGTTGCATCACGGAATAAATGTCAGTCAAAGTACCGCTGCGCTGAATACTGAAAAATGGCCTGGCCAGGAAGGGGGTATAAACACCTGGTCTTCAAGCGGTTAAAATAATAAAATAGGTGCTTGCTACTTTAAAAAACAAGTCCGCAATGGCAACTTCCATGCTTCTAACTTTGCAAATTCCCTTTAAGTGTGGGTTTAAATCCTTTTGCAAAAAGAGTTTAAATGTCCTAAGAACTAGGTGTTGGGCAGGAGGGATGTGTACACAGCAGCTATTACCAAGCTTTCAAGAACACTGAAGGAATTTGATGGATAGGGAGAACATGAAACGGCATTACTATTCAAGGAACCAGGTACTTTGCGTTGTATTAGCACAAATATTTATCCTGGAACACAGTAAAGCTCTTTAGCACATTTTTCTTTCTGGGTACTTTTGGACGTTTTCACATTACAAGCATTTTGCACGGCCCCTAGGAGTGGGACACTTTAGCAGCAGCTATTTAAAACATAAAAACTGCAGTTTTTCTATCAACAGTGTATCAGGTTATGGCCAAGTATTAATTTAGCCTGCAAGTTTTCTGAAAACACCATATTCAAGGAATCCCTGCACAAAATCACAATCATAGACCATGTGCTGGTATGTAAAAAAAAACGGGAGAAAGCATTTCATTCAGAAATACAGCTGGAACCGCATTTCATTGCAACTGGGTTTTAAAAAGAGCAGACTGCCATATGGATACAGCAAACAGAGCTAAAATTCATAAAAGCAACAGGTATGTAAAACGTAAGCAGAATGCAAAGTGAAATTTCAAGTGCAACTGAAGCCAGAAAACTTTACTTTTGAATAGAGTGGCGAGTGATTTAGAACATCTATCAGGTTTTGACTGCTGTCTGTGTACCCGTTAGGGAGATTTGTCCTGTATTGGTCCTGATAAGCATTATCACTGAAAGAAAATCACACATTTTGGTGTTTTATTAGAACAGGAATAGATGATAAATCTTCCAATGGGGACACTAGTTCTGGGATTTCCCTTACTTTGGAGGGATTTCCTCATTCCCTGTTGTGACTATCGCACAGGAAGTGAAGGGCAATTTCCCCAATGGAACACAGGTCACAAAAAAAAAGTTGACTGGGGTTATAATTCTCCTTTACTTCATCTAAATCTAAAAAAAGTTTGGGCTTCATTTCTACTTTAATGGTATACTATAGTCAAGCATGAAAATAGTCTCAATTGATAAAATGAATTGCTGGCCAACTTGGGTGTTTATCCTAGTGGTCATGTTCTGCAGCTGGCTGCCCCACTAGAATCCATATCTTTTGACTGGCTCACATGCTTGTAATATCATTTCTGCCATTTCTTCCTCCTCCAAGTTAGCCCAGACTGACACTGCTCAGCCTTAAAAGACAGGAAGCACATTCCACTGGAAACCCATTCCCACCCAATTACCCTCAGTGCAGTCTGAGATAGAGCAAACCAAAATGTTTTTGTAGAGGAGTTGGGAAAATTGAATTACAGGTAAGAGTCATGTTATGTTGCATGTTTGCCTTCTCCTTCAAGAGTGCAAATTGAAGCCTTATAAAAAAAAATAAAAAATCCCCCCTAGGGTAAAACTCTGAAAACAAGGACATAAGAAGTCTGGATTGTCTCTAGCATACAAGCGCTAATGTCTTGTAAGCGTATGATAATCTTCCAAATAAAGACCTAATAAATTTTGGTCTATAGCAGCCGTGGGTGACTTGGCCCATGAAGTTGAAATGGCGCTTTAGCGTAGTTGGAGCAGATCTACACATAGTTTTGTACATACAATTCTTGACCTTTCATTATTTTGCAATTATTAAAGTGACATGAAATTCAGGAATTAAATCTTAAAAATGCATTCAAGTATCCTAACTCTTAACCAAAATGTATCTTATTTGTGTATCACTCGGCTGTAGATCCTCAAATCACCTCTGCATTCATTCTGACACTGTCCTCCTTTCTGGAGGGGGGCTACTTTTGTTCCCCATGGTCACCACTCCAAGCTTACTCCCGTAATGGACTACAATCTCAATACAAATTAGTAAACTAAAACACAAGAATAGCTTGGTGCGGGGGCTACTTTACAACACACACAGGGACCATGGGGAACAGAAGTAGCCCCCCTCCAGAAGGAAGGACAGTGTCAGCACCAATTCAGAGATGATTTGAGGATCTACAGCCGAGTGATACACAAATATGATATATTTTTGTTAATCGTAAAGATTTAACACCTGAGTTTAGTGTCACTTTAAAGAAATGTGCTGGGCAATATATATTTGTTTGATTTGGATTCATTATTGAAATAAAAATTTAAGGAGAGAGTTTAAAGTGAACCTTTAGCCATATCTTAAAAAAAAAAAAAAAACAACAAACACAACTTTAGAAATGTTTAGTAATGACAATCTACAAACACATACTTCTACATAATTCCCGGCTTTGATTCTTTGCATTCCTTATTTCTCATGTCTCTAGACATGTGACCATGCACATCATCTCAGGGGAGGAAAATGCCTTTCCCTGAGATCTCGAGAGATTACAGATGAGATTTTCCAGCAATGCTCCGCCGATGTAACCTTCCCAGGATGCAATGCTTTTGACACTTATATCATCATCATCATCATTTCTAAGACAAGACAATTACAGTGTGCATTGCTTGGGGAAACTGAAATAATTTTGCCCTTTCAAAGCAGTGAAAGCTCTGCAAGTGTAAGAATTTCAAAACCACAGCATTTTACACCTGACATGTCTGTTATTATTAATCATCATACATAGGGGGATGCATTGGTAGAATTTGATTCAGTGTAAAGGTCCTCTTTACTACTACTTTAAGCCCTGTTGTAGGCTGACAACATACATGTGGACCAAGTGTTGTCATCCCTCCCAGTCTCTTGCTAAATTACTCAACCACTCCTACTCTCAGATCTTTACAACATAAAAGCCAATTAATCTGTAGTCCAAGATGAGAACTGGGAGGGCTTTTTGAGAGGAGTCCACAGAAGACACAGGACAGCTTTGAATTGCTGACAAGATCATGAGGGGTTTTTGCACCTATTAAACAGATACACTGAGTGGCCAGATTATTATGACCACCCCATCAGTACTTCGTTGGGCCACGAGATGACTCCACGAGATGTTGAAAGGTGATGGGAGGAATCTGACACTGCACTGTTGCCCTTCTGTTGTCTTGTACCAGTCTTGCCACTCTCCGTTCTGCCCTAACATTGACTAGTCGCTGACGGCCACAATTCGCACGTTCAGACCCAGATTTTCGGCTGACAGTCCAGTCTTTAAACACTTTAACAATGAGCCCCTCTTGAACATGTAACAAATTCTGCTGTTTTGCTGATACTCGCTCCATGGCTCCGAGCGCCAACAATCATCCCACGTTCAAAGGCTGTTAACCTCTTGCCGTCCGCCCGTAGTAAAAAAACGGACGGACGGCACTGCTACATCTGCGGGTTTCCCTCTCCAGACGGCAATTTTTTACTGCTCGCGTGTGCCCCCTAGCGGGCACGCACGGGCAGAAAAGACCCGACGATTAAACACACCCGTTACCGGGTGTTTCACATATAGGCGATCAGCGGGTCCATAGCCCGCCGATCGCCTATATGTGCTCGTTCGGGGCACCCCCGCCCCCCCCCACCAGGTCGGCGCTTCCGGGTTTTTTTTTTCCCCCTGACCGCTCACCTTGATTCCCGGGATCCGCTGCCCCATCTTGGATCCCGGGACCGGCTCCGAGGGCGTCAGGAGGAGGAGGACGGGAGATCAGCTCCTTGCTGATCTCCGTCCGGGCTGTGAATGCAGAAGTGATGTGTATTACATCACTTCCGCATTCACCTGTCAGTCATCTGGCTGCTATTGCCAGAGAGAAGAAGCTGATAAAGCAGATCTCTGCTTCATCAGCTTCTTTTGGGGTCCAAAGGGTATAAAATTCATTTCAGTACAGCGCTGCATGACGGAATAAATGTCAGTTAAAGTACCGCAGCGCTGAATACTGAAAAATGGCCTGGATGGGAAGGGGGTTTAACACCGCGGATGTCAACTGGTTAAATCGCGTTGTTTCGCCATATCTTCAGAAACAAATCACTTCTACTGTCGTGGTGAACAACCTGCTTCCCTATTTATAATGGTCTGGCCCTCTAGCAACTTCAGCGCAAAATTATAGCTAATTTGCCTACAAATGTCAGGTGGTCATAATAAACTAGCCACTCAGTGTATAACAAAATGATAGCAATGGTATATTAAACAGACCAAAATGGATTTAATAAGAGAAGTTCATTGCTGGGGTTTGCACGCAGTTTAATTTTAAGATCATCTTGTTTAAGCCTTTCTGCAGAAAAATCTATGTTGCGTGCAAAAGGAGTCTGTAACATCTCTCTGTTCACATTAAAACTGGAGAAAGTCCTTCAAGTTCCAAGATTGATGAAGTAATCGTACTTGAGCTCTAAAACTGGTAGCTATAGATAGATCAGAACAGTCCTTTCTTAAGTGAGTTGTTCAGTTTTCCATTTTTGACTTTCCACGTCTAGATTTAATACCGAGCCCTGAAATAACACTTCCTTCCTGGCAGGCAACAAATCTATGCCTGGAGAGGCCAATGTGTCTACCAGGAACTGAATAACCTCAACGTTCAGCTTCTGGCAACTTAATGAACAATCATTTTCACGGAACCCTTTAGGTGCACTGCAAAAATAGATTAGAACAGGAACTCTACCCACTTAATTATTTGGTAAGGATATTACTATCGGACATTGGACCACTGGCCCTGCAGGCAAAGGTCTTAAAAACTAGTACTGCCAGCCCTGGAGATCTGCATCCGTGGTGACTGATTTTTAAGTGCCCATGAGTCGTTGTCCAATTCATTTTTTTTACCACCAGTCCAAATATTCTAGGGTCATTTCTGATGCAAAAAGCAGCATTCACAAGAACCAGAGCACTCCCAAACCACGCAAGAGAAATGACAATTGCAGTACCCTGGCATTAGCTTGGGCCCACCTGCAATTAATAAAAAGATCAAAAAAGGACATGGCCCCTCTAATTTTTTTTTTTTTAACTAATGCTGGCCGATTTTTTAATTGGGGAAATAAAATATGGCTGCCTGAATCAAGACATACCTCCATAAACACATTCTCCTTGACAAGAATTAGACCTGACTTACAGCAATTTAATACCCAATCAAGATCAACAAGCTGAAGACTAACGTGCCTGAACTGCACTGATCGATGATCCCCAGTATGAGCAACCAATAGGATGTCAGCCACTCATGGGACTAGAATAATCTTTTGAAGCTTGATATAAGCCACCACTACTTCCTTCATCAAGATTTGTGGAGTGGCTATTTACCTAGATATGAATGTTCAGAAATTAACCTGAACTAGCTTGTAACTGCAAAAGAGCACTGCTCTCAGGATCACAAAAGGACCCTGTGGGAGCCTTCAAACAATTGTATAATTCTGACAACAGGTATGTGAATTAAAATATGACAGTAACAATGGAATTTTGAGAAATAAAACTGGAAAAGGACCGATAGGGCAGAGTTTGCTTCCAACAGCTCAGTGTGAGCAAGCACAGGATAAAAAACATGGTGCTGCGAACAACAGCCTTCAGGGATACTAAGTGGTGTCTCACTAGTCAGTAGATACTAGGGTACAACATGTTCCATGTAGGGAAGTTGTGTATGCCCAACAAGGGGTGGAGCTGGTTTGGAGTAAGAGAAAGGTTATTTAAAGCTTGGAAGGTATACACAAAACTGTACATACCTCAAACTCCAGGTATAAAGTGTAATAACTGTTCATCAGAGTAATTGAAGTTAAAAAATATATAAATCCGTGACGGGCAACTGCCCGATTGATTTAGGTTTGTTGCAGTGCATTTAAGCTATACGCACCATTTTATTAAAAAATATCTCTCTACAAGCTTTGCCAAAATTACAGGTCAGCTGCATGTTGCACTTGTGAAGATCAAGGAAATACTACCGTTTTCGAGCTTGATTGTAACCGCAGGCTTTTGTAACTTGGCTGACTCAAGTCTCATAAGGACGTTTACTACAGAACTTCATAAAACTCTGCTTTTATGCATGTGAAAAAAAATGGAATGCTCAATGTATTCATCCAAGCTCAGTTTATGGCCTAACCGCTAGTTTACACAGGTGGAAGCATCCAGCTGTTATTGGACAACAGTTCAGGACTGTGCTGGGGCGCTCAATGAACAGGTGAATTATCTGGAGACACACAACAACCAACTCAATCCAAGAATACAGACAAAATGTCCAACACACATAAAAATGTCTGAAAGGGGGAAATAAATGTAACGATTTGAACACAAAATGTTTCCGTGTTTTTAGAGTCTTTTGCAATAATGTATCAGATACTGTATATGAATACTGCAAAGTAGAAGGATGTGGAAGGAGAAGTACAGTGCTGGTATGTTTTTAACATTTTTAGTGTGCCCTCAAGTTGAAGAATCTCCACTACTACTATTTGTATATTTAACTAGAAGCAATAAGGCTAGACTGTGGAAGAGCAGAGTATAAAAACCTCTGCCATTCAGGCCAGGTAAGAGGGAGCTACAGGTAGCAAGCAGGAGAGCGAAAGCAATGCAAGACTAACAGGGTTATTCACAAAAGGGTGAAGAGTTTGGAGAAGGCAGGAGAAGTGAAGAATATCTAGGACAAAATAGCTGAACTGGAAAGTGAGGTGAATTGGAGAGTTTTTCCAAATCAGCTATTTTGGCCTAGATTGTTCACTTCTCCTGCCTTCTCCAAACTCTTCACCCTTTTGTGAATAACCCTGTTATTAATCTGGGGGACATGTATCATGACATTTCTATCCTAAGCTATATGTATATATAAAAACACATAGGAGTTAGGTAACATTTCTAGTATTTGAAGGGTAATTCCACTTTCCCAGGTGAATTTGGGAAAATTGAATTACCCCCACCAATCTTGCTCCCCTGCTATACTTACCTTTCGGCAAATTCTCCCTCCCCTCTGCTGGTGTCAGTGTACTATCCATACAAACTGCCATGTAGCGCAGCCCGGTGCTCTGGATTTTAAATTTTGCACGCTAATTGCGAGCACTCATTAATCAGCGCAATCATCTGATCCATTTTAATCCATTTCCTATAAGCACCGGCCGTCCTGGACCTATCCCAACATGCGACTGGACAGTGAAAGGAGAAGCAACACAGTGGTGAGTTCATTGCTCTGTCACTCTGCTTTTTCTTACTTTCAGCGTGCTTCTTGACAGCACAAGAACTGATTGTCTCCTCGTGCTGCTTACTTCTCTCACACTCCAGTTCTGCTACACAGGAACTGCAAGAGGCTGATACCAGGTGAAATCCAGGTACTTATAATGCTACCATTTAAAAATAATACATTTAAAAATTGTATTAATGAATCCAGGGCTCATTCATGTGTGACTTTTATATCTTCCAAGAGTTCAGCTTTAGACAAAAATATACAAATATTGTTTAGTCTGTCTTTTCCTTTCTTCTGTATTATCCATACTACACACAGACTAGCTCGACTTAAGGCTATATCTATATCTTTTTAAAGTAAACAGGCTCTAACCTTGAAATGTCAGCACACAGTCGCGAGTGCAATCGGGCACATAGTCCTCAGGCATAGGTGACCACAAAAAGGTATAATAGTCTCGAGCAGTGCTCCATCCAACCTGCAAAAGTAAAATATCATGTGTCAAGCACGATATTGGTTTTTCTTCACAAGGCAAAAACGTTGGTGAAAAACAAAGACATAGATATGAGAAAGGGGTACCAGGACTGAAGCAGCTGAGGACAGACAGAACGTAATGGGAAAATCTGCAATAGGGAGAGAGACAGAAATAAAAATCTGGTAGGGGTTTAGGCAATCCTCTACCAAAGGAAAGCGTTTTGGTTTTTCTGTCTCTGTTGCAAGGTTCCCCTCACTTCCGGCCTAGTGAAATGTCATACTGGGAAAGTGAGGAAATCCAATAAGGAAATAGTGACCGCATTCATGGTTCTATCTTTCTCATCTTGCCAAGGTAAGAAAAAACAAAACAAAAACCTCACAATAAGAACAGGGAGGCTGCCCAATCTCTCCTCTGTGACTGAGGACTAGCGATGAGCCAGGACTTGGTGCGAACGCCTGAGTTTGCCCAAGCCCACTTAAAAATCTGATCGCCACCACTTCCTCCCGACCAGTGGCGGCAGTTGCAGTGGGGGTGTTCCCGGCCCCTTGGTGATGTATAGCTGTGCCTCCCCGCAACCGATAGGGTCGGGAGGAGGGGGTTGGTGGTCAGAACTCTGGCGTTTGCACCCAGTCCCGGCTCATCTCTAGTCCTCAGTCACAGATGAGAGATTGGGCAGTGTCTCTGTTCTTATTGTGAGGTTTTTTTATATTTTGAGCGGGCTTGGACTTGGTTCGCACCAAGCCCAGCCTCATCACTACTGAGGACTAGTGATATTACTTCATCTGTTTTTCAAATGCATAATAAATATTCTCCAAATATATTGCAATATCTTACATACATACACGTCTTATAGTTGTGAATAGTATTGTGATGCAAACTAAGGGCATGGCAAAAAAGTTAAAAAAAAACAACAGCATGTGTACATGTAGGGCAAGCCAACTCGTGAGCACAAAAAGGAATAAAAAAGCCGCACACAGTAAAGAGCAAGTCCCACACAGGTCAGGGCAATTAAAGGGAATATATAGTCTCTTCAATATTTTAAGATTAACATGCAGATAAATCTAGCTCGTTGTAAATCTTATCCAGCCGCATAATATTTTAAAGACCTTGTTTGTGTGCATCATTTGTAATGATATAAAAATAAACATGGCAGCAAAAATGCAAGTCTGCGAGACGACCAACTCATTAAAAATAACGGACTCCCTATTTGGCTGATATACTCTGCCTCTAATGGTTAACCTACAAATCTCTACATAGAATACACTAACAAAGTCTGGAAGAGGGAGCATGTAAAATGGGAAAGTGACAACAAAAATGACTTTAAAAAGAAAAATGCAATAGTAACTGAAAACATATGTGGACTGAAAACACACGATACTGTGCCTGTAAAGGCTTCCTGGGAAGAAACAAGTTTTGACCTTTGTTATTTAAAAATTGCAACTGAAGCCAAAACTTTTTCTTTTGCATAGAGTGGAAAGGGAAAGAACCTCTGTCAAGGTTTTTTCTATTGTCGTCTGGGTCCCTGTTAGATTGAACCTCTCTATTTGTCCTGGTGACGCTTATCACTGAAAGTGAAAGGAAATCCCACATTTTGGGTTGTTATCAGAACAGAAATGGTAATCTTCCAAAGGGGACACTAGTTCTGGTGACCCTGCTGACCACCAGGGAGTTCCCTCACTTCCTGTTGGCTATTGGACAAGAAGTGAAGGGAAATCTCCCCAATGGTAAACAGATGGCAATAACAAATGCTGACTGGGGTTATCACCCTCCCTTACTCTAGCCAAAACTAAAAAACTATTTTGGCGTCAGTTCTACTTCAAGTGCAAAGTATGCACAAGCCCCTAATACAAACTACCATCATGTGTCTGCTTGTAAGGTTATACTATTCATTCTAGCTTTCACTATGCTTGTTCTTGTGTATGTTCACTTCCTGGTGGATTCCAAGGTACTGTAGGGGAACAAAAAGCTAGGCCACATCACTATATATTTATTGATTTTTTGGGGGTATTTATATAGCGCCGACAATTACGCAGCGCTTTATATATTTGCACATTCATATCAGTCCTGCCCTCAAGAAGCTTACAATCTAAGACCGCGTTCACGCCAGGGCATTTCGTCACTTGTTTTTTTCCACGCTGAGACGCATGCAACATAAAATCCTATGAGGGGAATTCATCAAAACTGGAGCAGACAAAATCTGAAGCAGCTGTGCATGGCAACCAATCAACTTCTCTCTTTCATTTTCAAAGAAAACAAACTGAAGAGAGAAGCCGCTGCGTTGCACTGGGCAACTGCTCCAGAATTTGTCTGTTCCAATGTTGATGAATTCCCCCCATGTATTCTTATTGGGGCTGTTCACACAAGCGCACTGAATGGGGCAGAAAAATACACCTGGTGTTTGAAAAAGTCTCTGAGCTTCTTTTGTGGCACTTATCAGCCCATTTTCCTCCATAGACTTCAATGGAAACGGCCTGATTAGCGCGTTTTTGGTCTCTTTTTTTAGCGCGGTTTTGCAGCTGAGACTGCTTTTCATCGGACAACTGTAAAAACAAGCTGAAAACGCTCCTTAAAATGTAATTGCTTATGAACAGAAAGCACCTGTAAAGCGTGCTGAAACGTGCATAAAAATGGGCAAAACACGCTAAAACGTTGTCGCCCTGGTGTGAGTGGGGTCTAAAGTTCCTACCTTACATACATACAGGGCTGATTTAGACAGGAACATGTCTTTAAAGGAGAACTATGGGGTTAGGGCTTTTCCCCATAGATCTCCTTAGGGTAACGGGAGGACACAAACTAGCATCCTCCCTTCACCCTTAGCTCAGTATACCGCGAGCTACAGCTTGCGGTATACGGAGACGCCGCAGCTGAAGCGGATCTTGACAATTATGTCTGGATCCGCCCAGCTGCATGAGTGACAGCTGGCTCTGCCTATCCAGAGGCAGAGCCAGCTGTACCCGCCCCCTCACCGTCCGTTCCACCAGTCAGCGCTGGAGGATCGGAGCGGGGAGGGGGGAATCCAGCCCCTCCCCTGTCACGGCAGAGAGCTGTGACAGGATCGAGAGGTGAGCGAATGCCGGTATGTGTTCGCTCACCTCCCGATCTACTGAGCCGACCTGTGACAGTCTCATTGTCACAGGTCGGCTAGAACTATGAGGTGAGTGAAAAGCACTCACCTCATAGTTCTCCTTTAAGGTGTGGGAGGAAACTAGGGATGCACCGATACCACTTTTTTAAGGCCGAGTACGAGTACCGATACTTTTTTCCAAGTACTCGCCGATACCAATTACCGATACTTTTTCTTAAAGGGACAGGTCAAATTTTTTCTAAAGCAGTACAAAACCATGATTTTAGGTCAGTTTCTTAATATTATGAAGAACATGAACACTCTGTAGTGTGGCACAGCTATATCCAATTCTGCATACCTGGCTTTATATTATAAGAACTTTATAATATAAAGCCAGGTATGCAGAATTGGATATAGCTGTGCCACACTGTGTTCTGGTCTGCAGTCTGGACATGTGCTCATCTATTTTGACCACTAGGGGGATACAAGCCTTAGTTAGCAATATCTACATAGTTATTTTCTTTTTTTTAAATAATATATGCCAGTAAACAGCATTTTTGTGCCCAGCCCCATGAGGTGTGTCAGTACTAACCTGCTGTGTCGTCTTCTCCGTCTGCTTCAGCCACTCCGTGTCACAGCCTAGTCATCTGCTCCATTCTGACCTCTTCTCCCGCTGATTGGCCGATTGGATGATGACAGGCTTGCTCACCAGTCACTCCTGACTGGTGAGGAAGCCTGTCAATCGTCCAATCGTCCAATCAGCGGAAGAAGAGGTCAGAATGGAGCAGATGACAGAGGAGGTTGCGGCCATCTTGCTTCATTGAAGACGCGATTGAGGTCCTGTGTGCGGCGGATTCGGGTCCCTGAAGATGGCGGACGCGGCACAGGTACTCGTTTTATGTATCAGAGTATTTGCACGAGTACTCATGCAAATACTCGGTATCGGTGCATCCCTAGGGGAAACCAATACAAGCACAGAGAGACCATGCCTACGCCATGCACAAAGCGTCCTGACCAGGATTTGAAGCGAGAACCCCCAGTGCTGCAAGGTAGTAGTGCTAACCACTAAGCCACTGTGCCATAAATAGGCCCCAGAGTGTGATATAGATCTCTACCCACGTGGGAGTATCAAACAAGAGTATATAAACCATTTTTAGGCCCATCTCCACCCTCCTTCACCACCATCCTGGCATCACCACTCAGGATTTGTTATCACTGATCAGGTACAAAATATTTCATCCGTCTCATCAGTCAGCTTATGTATGCATGAACTAAGATGAAGAAACAATGAAACAAAAAATTCCTGATGTACGAGACATTTTTTGGCCACTAACATGGATGATGTCACATATGTATTCTGTCTTTTATTATAACAAATGGAGTACACAAGGAGAATGAGCAAGTGATAATCCTCGACAGGAAAAGGGAATCACGTTTTCATGGTGGATTGTTGTGGTGTGAAGGAAGATGCATGGACCAGGCGAAATGGGAAACAAATGTTTTACATCTTAAAATCATTTCCAGTGCAGAAATTCTGGAGGGTTATAGGAGAAAATATACATTTTATTCACGGACTTATATGGAAATGAGGCAAATATGGAACCAAAATATCCATTTCTGATTCTTGGCTTTCCCTTTTAAAATTAACTAATTCTAAAAAAAGAAAAAATTACACTAAAACAAATCTCTCCTCTTCAAATTTCTATGAGGTCATCATAATTCCTAATTATTCCTGAAGTTTCTGCAGATCAACAAGGTCATGGACTCTGACGCGGTTATTCACAAAAGGGGGAAGAGTTTGTAGAAGGCCGGAGAAGTGAACAATTTAGGACAACATAGCTGAACTGGAAAGTGAGCGGAATTGGAGAATTTTTCCAGCTATGTTGTCCTAGATTGTTCACTTCTCCTTCCGGCCTTCTCCAAACTCTTCACCCTTTTG